AAAATAAATGACCCAATCAAAAAATGGGCCAAAGAACTGAACAGACATTTCTCCAAGGAAGACATACAGATGGCTAACAAACACATGAAAAGATGCTCAACATCACTCATTATCAGAGAAATGCAAATCAAAACCACAATGAGGTACCATTACACACCAGTCAGGATGGCTGCTATCCAAAAGTCTACAAGCAATAAATGCTGGAGAGGGTGTGGAGAAAAGGGAACCCTCTTACACTGTTGGTGGGAATGCAAATTAGTACAGCCACTATGGAAAACAGTGTGGAGATTTCTTAAAAAGCTGGAAATAGAACTGCCATATGACCCAGCAATCCCACTTCTGGGCATACACACCGAGGAAACCAGATCTGAAAGAGACACGTGTACCCCAATGTTCATCGCAGCACTGTTTATAATAGCCAGGACATGGAAGCAACCTAGATGCCCATCAGCAGACGAATGGATGAGGAAGCTGTGGTACATATACACCATGGAATATTACTCAGCCATTAAAAAGAATTCATTTGAATCAGTTCTAATGAGATGGATGAAACTGGAGCCCATTATACAGAGTGAAGTAAGCCAGAAAGATAAAGACCATTACAGTATACTAACACATATATATGGACTTTAGAAAGATGGTAACGATAACCCTATATGCAAAACAGAAAAAGAGACTCCTATGTATAGAACAGACTTGTGGACTCTGGGAGAAGGCGAGGGTGGGATGTTTCAAGAGAACAGCATTGAAACACGTATATTATCTAGGGTGAAACAGTTCACCAGCCCAGGTTGGGTGCATGAGACAAGTGCTCGGGCCTGGTGCACTGGGAAGACCCAGAGGGATTGGGTGGAGAGGGAGGTGGGAGGGGGGACCGGGATGGGGAATACATGTAAAAAAAAAAAAAAAAGATACACTATGGTTGTGATAAAAAAAAACAAAAAAAACAAAAAAAAAACAACTGAGCGACTGAACTGAACTGTTTGGCTGAAATGACTGTGGCTTTCCCCACCTAATGGTCCTGTCAGAAATCATTTGACCATGTATGTATTTATTTCTGGGCTTTCTGTTTGGTTAGGTTGGTCCATATTTCTGTCTTTATGCCAGTTCCATCCTGTTTTGAATACCATAGTTCTGCACTAAGTTTTGAAATAAGAAAGTATGAGATATCCAACTTTGTTTTCCTCTTTAGGATTGTTTTGGCAATTTGGGATCCCTTGAGATTTCTTTTTTTTTTTTTCATTTATTTTTATTAGTTGGAGGCTAATTACTTTACATCATTGTAGTGGTTTTTGTCATACATTGAAATGAATTAGCCATGGATTTACATGTATTCCCCATCCCGGTCCCCCCTCCCACCTCCCTCTCCACCCAATCCCTCTGGGTCTTCCCAGTGCACCAGGCCCGAGCACTTGTCTCATGCACTCAACCTGGGCTGGTGATCTGTTTCACCCTAGATAATATACGTGTTTCGATGCTGTTCTCTTGAAACATCCCACCCTCGCCTTCTCCCAGAGTCCACAAGTCTGTTCTATACATAGGAGTCTCTTTTTCTGTTTTGCACATAGGGTTATCGTTACCATCTTTCTAAATTCCATATATATGTGTTAGTATACTGTAATGGTCTTTATCTTTCTGGCTTACTTCGCTCTGTATAATGGGCTCCAGTTTCATCCATCTCATTAGAACTGATTCAAATGAATTCTTTTTAATGGCTGAGTAATATTCCATGGTGTATATGTACCACAGCTTCCTCATCCATTCGTCTGCTGATGGGCATCTAGGTTGCTTCCATGTCCTGGCTATTATAAACAGTGCTGCGATGAACATTGGGGTACACATGTCTCTTTCAGATCTGGTTTCCTCGGTGTGTATGCCCAGAAGTGGGATTGCTTGGTCATATGGCAGTTCTATTTCCAGCTTTTTAAGAAATCTCCACATTGTTTTCCATAGTGGCTGTACTAATTTGCATTCCCACCAACAGTGTAAGAGGGTTCCCTTTTCTCCACACCCTCTCCAGCATTTACAGAAAAATAAATGACCCAATCAAAAAATGGGCCAAAGAACTGAACAGACATTTCTCCAAGGAAGACATACAGATGGCTAACAAACACATGAAAAGATGCTCAACATCACTCATTATCAGAGAAATGCAAATCAAAACCACAATGAGGTACCATTACACACCAGTCAGGATGGCTGCTACCCTTGAGATTTCATGTGAATTGTAGGGTAGATTTTTCTATTTCTGCAAAAGACATCACTGGAATTTTGATAGGGATTGCATTAAGTCTATCAATCATTCTTGGTAGTACTTGACATCATAACAATATTAAGTTTTCCAATTCATAAACACAGAATGTCTTTCCATTTATGTTTTCTTTACTCATCTTTTTTATAGCTAAGAAAAGTGTAGTCACTCTTGGGGGCTACTTAACAGCAGCTTCATAAATAAGAAGAAATCCACAGGCCTGAAACCAAGATCATATGACGGTTCCCTCATGGTCATGCCCTGCCCCTTGCAAAGAACACTTTCCCATCACGCCTCTGTTCTGAGATTCCTTTGGGTTCTGACATCATCTCTTACTTCCCATTCAGTCATGCCATGATTCATTTAATTAGACCCATAAAGCTGATGGAATGGAAAGCTACTGTTTTCATCCTTAGCATCCATTCTCCCTTCTATGTCAGTACCACATTTCTCAGAAACATTGTTTCTGTCCTGTGAGTTCATGTGCTTTGGGGAGAGTTGCCCCAGTCAGGCTCCAGGAGCAGGTATCTCAGTCAGACTTAGTTGACTGGGACATTTCATATCCTCAGTCACAGTAACTGGTCCAGAAATAGCACATGATCCAAGAGGGTTCAATGAAAACGAATCCCAGGATTTTGACTGGAATGACACAAGAAAAGGCACTCTGGTTCCATGAGACTGTGAGCAATAAAGATGAGACAAACTTGGAGGTGCCTTGAGCCTGAGGATAATGCCAGCCTACAACAAGGCAAGCCAAGAGATGAGGACAGAATTTCATGAAGAAATCATATAAGCACCTGGATCCAACTGTTCCTAAAGTAAGAAGCTACAAACTTTCAGTTACATGAGCCAATCACTTCCTCTTTTTGCATAAGCCTTGTGAGCTTGCATTCTATCACTTATAATCAAAAAGTCTTAATTGAGCCTACTATAATCTAGCCCTTAATCTCAATGCTATACAAATAAAAACTAAGAAGCCACTTTTTCAATGACCCTCTGAAAAAATTAAATACTTACATTGCTTTATTCCACAAAAGATCCAAGGTGCCCCACAAATTATATTTAATACAATAAAAGGGAAATTTATTAATTGCAAAACCAGGTCCTAAAAAAAAGCTGATTAACAACAACCCTGGGGGATGATTAGCATGTAACGATCTATGCATAACATAGTGGCCTAGAGGGTTATTAAGTCTACACAACAGCTTTGGCTCTGGGCTTCCTGTGAGCCAAGGCAAAAAGTGAAAGAGGGTTAATAAAATAATTCACCTAATTATCCATTCATATCAAGAGCTGTTGATACATTCAAGAGCACCTAAAATCTATTTAGGTGCCATTTTCTAATTGCCTGCTGTAGTCTTTTCCAAGGAATGTTTGTTGCTTATTTTATAAATATAGCTTCATCTCATGGCCATGACTATCATACAACAACACAAGAGAGGCTTCGTAAGGCCAAGGGCAGCTTATTTATCTTGGTGTCCCTTCCACTGGCTGATAAAAAGAAGCTGTTCTGTAAGTCTGTACTTCCTGATTATAATTAGAATATATTCCGCTGCCAAGCTCCAATAAGACTCATGTACCTGTGAGGATCACAAACGCAATCAGAAAGAAAAAGATCTCCCACAAAGGAGCTGAGTCACACTCCTTACATAAATCTTATGTCTGTGACATGTTTTTAGATCTCAGTCAAATATGAACCAGATCATAACGAGATACTTCCATATATACTTTGAGTGAATCTAGAAAGGGACAACTGCTCATTCAAATTAAATTGTATGCTTTCCACAACATATTGGCTTTGGTGATAATTCACTTAAGCTAAATGTCAATTTTAAAACCACTGGGTTTAATTGCAAAGGCTTTTAGTTCAGTAAAAACAGAGAGAAATTTGGGGGCTGGATGAAAATTATTAAGAAGCATGTGTCTTTAGGGAGATGTTGTCTATAGAAATATAAAAAAATGGGTCTGAGAAAGACATTTGGTAGCATGTCTACTGCAAATTCAGGAAGCTGAAATACAGTATATCAGTACTGAGACTGCCCTGGAAGAGAAGTCACACGCCTGCTGAAAATTTCATCAAGGATCCCACTTCTACATTGCATTGATGCGAGCAGAGCATGGTGGATTAGAGTACAGGCTTTGGCTCAAGTCCTAATTCTGGAAGTTTCTTACCATTCTCTCCATTCCTTTTTCTGTGAAATGCTGATAATAACACCTCAGAAGGATGTCTTGAGTATTATGCAGCAAAGCATGTATAAAACACTTAGCAATGTCCTGGCACACAGTAAGCCCTAAGTAAAAGATGTGCATGCTAAACTAAGGTGATTGTTCCTGTGGATGCCTGGAAAATAAACTGAATGAAAATCACAGAAAAGGAAATCTTAGGTGAATTAGTTATTTAGAAATGATTCACTTTATATGAGACACCTGACATATATAGTACATTAAAAAAAAATAAGTATATTAGAAAGACTTGAGGAAGCTTCACAAGGGAAAATAAACATAAAATCCCAAATCACAGCAGGTACACAGGGGCACACCATCTCTCTTGTATGATCAACTCCAGATATCCTCATCAGTGCCAGGCCTGACTCAGCTCAGTGACCCCAAAGTGACACCTTCTCCTACCGACATCATATACCCAAAGTACAAAGGCAGCTTTGAAATGGGGGAACCAAAGCACTTCTCACCAACATTTGGGTTCCGGGTGGCCTCTGTCAACTTCAGGCTGAAGCACTCTCCCACTCACCTGAATTGTCAGGTTGCTTTTAGTATTCAGAACTTTCCTCTCGGCATCCTGGAAGGCCCTCTGTAGCCTCTGTTCCATGGTCTGAGCAAATTTGCAGGACTGTATGTTGTCGGACTGGCTCACAAACTGTAGCACTAGAATGAGAGTAATAAATCAACGCTCACCAAAGCTCTATGTCTTAGTTCCTTGAACTTAATGGCAGTCATGATACAAAACAGCATGATTTTACCTCAGAAAAATCAGGCAAATAAGGACAGTCATAGTTCTGGAAGTGGCTCTTAAAATGATTTATAATATAGAAGAATTAAAAACATGATCGAACCTGAGATTCCCTCCAATGCAAAGCATTTTGTGATTTCAATTACTGGCATATGGAAACATCTGCTCCAAGACAACTAAAATGAATTTGGAGTGATCATGCCTTCTATTTCTTTGGAAGGAAAAAAAAATCAGTCGACCTACATGACTAAGTTGTTTGAGTCTTTCAATTTCAATGGTTCCTCTCCTCTTGTGGCTTTCAAACCACAAGATAAGAATTTTTAAAAACATACATTTTAAAAAATATCTATTTAGGCTGCACTGGGTCTTCATTGCTGTGCAAGAGCTTTCTCTAGTTGTGGAAAGCAGGGGCTTTTGTTGCAGAGCGCATGGACTCAGTAGCTATGGCACATGGGCTTAGTTGCCTTGCAGCATATGGAATACTCCCGGGCCAGGGATGGAACCTGTGACCCCTGCATTAGCAAGTTTATTCTTAACCACTGGACCACCAGGGAAGTCCCACCAGTGAGTTTAAAAGAAAGACTCTAAGGCCTAAGCTCAAAGATTCTAATTCAAGGGCATCTGGAACATGTTGTTGCAAAGCATAGATTTTATGCTGAGGATACTCAACTCTCCTCAGTATCCATTGGTAATACAGGAAAAAAAAATACAGTACCTGATGCTCCTAAGTACTATATACTCATATAAATTGGGAAGACTTCTGTGAAAGAATATTTCTCATGAATCCAGGTTGGAAAAGTTTAGGCTGCTGTGCAGGGAACTTGGACAATTGATTAGCAAGGCCCTTGGAGAAAGGTACACAAGGACTCTAAGAAATGACAGAGGAGCTAGTGATGGGAGTTTTCTTTTTTTTTATTTGGCTGCACCAGGCCTTAGTTGTGGCATCTTCAGCTATGGCATGAGGGATTTAGTTCCCTGACCAGGGATCAAACCTGTACCCCCTGCACTGGGAGTGTGGAGTCTTAACCACTGAACCACCAGGGGAGTTCCAATGATGGAGTTTTCAAACAGGTGTCCTCCGGATACCGCCCACAATCCCAGAATGAAGAGGAATCCTTTTCTTCTGAATTACTTGCCTGTTTTCAGCTGCAAGTGGCCTGCAGGCTGGGGAGTCCACGGGGAGGCAAGTACAGCCACAGACTGCAAGTTTGGGGTGTGCTGCTTCACATCTGCAGTGACGTTGCTGATCCCGTAAACACCCAGCGTTTCGATCACTGCGGAAGGCAAGTAGACCAGCCTCCCTTTGGTAGCGTAATAACCAACGGTGATGTTGTGAGAATGTTCCAGAAGGTCCACCTGCAAGACAAATGGACCCAAAGAACTCAGTGTTCACTTCCACCATACTTTAAGTCTCTCTTGGTGTTTCTTAGAACCACAGTGGTTACTCAGCATGGCTGGGGAAGAGGACGCTCCCATTCGACAAATATTCTAGCAATCCTATAAGCTGATGGGATTGGCAGGTTTCAAAATATCAGAATACAACAAAATATCATTTGTGTTGAACCTATGGATATAGGATTAAATCTATATTTAATTATGAAATAGAATTAAGTCTGTGGGTAGTTTTTTTTCATTCCTTAAGTGTCTCAGTTTAATCCTGGGAGCACCAATTATCACCCAGGAAGGCAGGCAGGAGACAGCAGGCAAAAGAGATTTCCTGGGGTAGGAATGCTGGGGAAAATGGCTGTGCCATATTTCTCATCATTTATAAACATTAAAGGGGCTTCCCCGATGGCTCAGTGGGTAAGGAATCCACCTGCAATACAGGAGATGCAGGAGACATGGGTTGGGAAGATCTCCTGGAACAGGAAATGGCAACCCACTCCAGTATTCTTGCCTGAAAAATCCCACGGACAGAGAAGCCTGGTGGGCTACAGTCCATGGGGTTGCAAAGAGTTGGACACGACTTGAGTGACAGAGCACAACAACAGCATAAACATTAAAAGGCAGAAATGACAGATTAAGTTCGGACCCCTTCCAGACAAGGGCCAGCCTGTAAATGAGGTGCACCCCTCTCTTCGGAAGCTGAGAGAAGAACTGTTCAGATTTCACTCCATTCTTGGCTTGTGACTGGTTCATGACCAAGGCAAGGCTGGGCCATGGAGAATTTCTCTTACAGCAACGGAGTCCTAAGGGATGCTGATGATCTGAGCTCTTTCTCACCCAACTGGAAGATTTTCGAGGCTTTTGACAGTATTCTTACTTTGTGTTGCTCTCCTCGTGTGTGATATCCACAGTGCAGGGTGTTTTGAACACCGCTTTTCCTCCCCTTATTCTTCCATCTCCATTAGGAGTGTCATGCTTTTTTGCCAAAGAAACCAAGACAACCGATTTTGCAGGAGGCTGGGTGTCCTTTGCTTCCTCCACACTGTGTGCTCCTCAGCACCTTGTCCCTTGAAGGTGATGTTCAAGGTGACCTTAGGTGGGACAAGAGGTATTCCTGGATGGAACACGGACTCAGCACCAAATACCACCAATTCACCCAGCAAGAAAGTGACGCCCATTCCAACCCTCCTAATGTTAACATCTCAAGAAGCAAGTCTCAGTTTGAGGACAGTTGACTTCTAACACCTCTTTAATCCTTGCTAATCATATTTTTTAATGAACAAAGGGACGCCAGGCCCCAGCCTTAATGCCTTCTGCAAGCAGTAATGTCTAGCTTGAATTTAACAGTCTCTACTATTTTCATTTTTATTTTTTAATTTTGGCCATGCCATGCAGCTTGTAGGATCTCAGTTCCCTGACCAGGGATTGAAACTGGGCCATGAAAGTAAAAGCACCAAATCCTAACCACTAGACTGTCAGGAAACTCCCTTATTTCATTTTTATCATTACCTTCTATTTGTGGCAAATGATCCTGACTTCTATTCATGGTGATAATATCAAACATCCTCTTGAAAGAAATATGTTTCAGTGTTTAAATTTTTATTGAACTATAGTCAATTCAAAGTGTTGTGTTAGTTTCTGCGGCACAGTATAGTGAATCAGTTATACATATCCATATATCCACTCCTTTCTAGATTCTTTCCCTATATAGGTCATTACAGAGTATTGAATAGAGTTCCCTATACTATAAAGGTTTTTATTAGTTATCCATCTTATATAAAGTAGTGCATATATAACAATCCCAATCTTAAGTGTTTTTTTAAATAAAAACTGATTTTAAAATAACTACTACATACTAATCGTCACAGCGGTCTGTGATGATATGCAACAAAGGTCAAAAACTGTGAGGCTAATCTGCAAACAACCAAAGTTTAACGGCAACTGTCTCAGGTAACCACAGGGAAACATTCACATTTTCAACTTCTAAATAAAGTGTCTGGTGCAGAAACCACAGATGCCTCTTATGGAGAGCATTTCCTCTTTTTCTTCTCAGAATTATATAGAAGAGATTAACAATGATGAATAAACTGTACCCAATCTCCTTCCTAGTCTGTGGTGTGGTGGCAGGGAAGGACCACTAATTTGAATGCAGCTGTGCAGAGCATCAGAGCAGAAAGCTGGAGCGATATTTTTAAGTGATGTAAAGGGCTGTCCACTGACTGCCCATCACATGTACTGCTTTAAAACTTGGAATCAAACCAAAAGGGAGTAGAGCAAGATTTCCATCACTTGGATATGCCATCAAAATCAGCTGGTGGTTGTTAAATAGTACTTGACATGAGAGTGTTTGGAGAGAAAAAAAAAATGCTTACTTCCTTGTCTGTTGCTCTCAATTTAAGCAAAGTTGGACTTAATTTACAAGTCAGAGTAATTTTTAAATGTCCAGAAATAAATCACCAACTGTTTACAATGGTGAGGAAGATAAAAGAAAAGGCAGTGGATGATTTCTGCAAAATTACACTGACACAATTAAATACTTTCCCCAAATAACAGGATAATGGGGCAATTTTTATAAAGTACATCCAGGCTTTAAAAAAAACAACCCCAAAACTAGACACAATTATCCTCAATTTTCTATCTCAGAATTTGACCTCCTTCTCCTGCTACCACACATTAGCTATTTGCCAAAATGATGAGTGATGACAGAGTCTAGTTCTGTGGTGGTTATGGCGCCCAGGGAGCACAGAAACAATGTAAACAGGCTCTGGACCCAAAAAGAAGACGTGGCTGGATGAGCCTGGTTACAAGAGCAGGGGGCTTACATGAGCCAAGACGTCATTCTGGTGGAACGCCTTCCGCAAGGCCTGTGTGAGCCCTTTGACTATATTGAGCTTCAAGGTTTCACTGCTCTGCATCCTCCTTTGGGTCAGAAAGAGAACTGTGGGGTCAAACAGAAGCACCCAATCAGCACAAGGCAGCAGACCTAATTCACGAGCCCCCTGCTCCTTCCCAGCCACCCAGCACCCTCTACAGGTTCTGAGCAAAGCTGGTGGTACAGGGCCAACTGGCAACCAGACGGTATAATTTCCTACTTTCACAATTTTCCCATTTAGCATAGCTGGGGCAGCAGTTCTGTTGGTCCCGCCGACGTCCTAAAGAAGGCCCAGTCATTTGGGTGACCCTGATAGAGAGATGGCTAGTATACTAGTGGCACTTCGCTTCTGACCGTCACTGCCTTTAACTCTGAAAGCCAGGCTAAAGCCAGTGTGCCTGCTCCTAACTGGTCTGCATGCAAGGAAATTCCTGCAACAGCATCCCTGAGAGCCTCAAGGGCAGACCCTGCATCCTAAAACAGCCTAAATCAACCCTGCATTAGGAGGGGCATTCTCCCCCCTCCCGCCTCCCCCCACCTCCAACAAGCAAGATGGAGACCTGGCATGGAGAAGAGGCAGCTGTGATGGAACACGACAGGTGTTCCCTGAAGGGAAGCCTAGGATGTAGTTGGAGGCCCTTGGAGAAGCATCCAGCCTTGACTGGGGCGAGGGGGTGGGGATCAGGGAAGGTTTCCGGGAGGAACTGATGCTTCCATGAAGTCTTGGAGGATGATGGGCATGAGCTGGGCTAAGGCCAGAGGGACTGCCCTGGCCACTCCCAACAGAGGGAGGACCAAGTGCAAAGGCATGGGGAGAGAAGTGAATATTTCAGTCTACAAGTCCAGGCTTGGTCCTGAGGGCAGTGGGAAAGGAAGGGGTTTAAGCAAAGGCATGAACTTTAGAAGGTTCCCTTGACTGCAGACTGGAGAGATTAGAGGGGTGGGGGGAAGCCTGAAGGCAGACAGAGAAATCTGGCTGCTTTTGCAGAATGTAGGTGAGTGACGTGAACCAGGGAAGGGGCGGTGGGGATGGAGGGAAGAGGCATTCAGAGGCAGAACAGGAAGGAATCAACTGGGTGTGGCTGGGGTGAGGGGGGGTGTGAAGAAGAGGGAGTGGAGAATGTTCCAGACTGCCGCATCAAGGAGGCTGGGGTTGCCTGCCACTCAGAGGGGGAGGCAGAGATCTGGAGGGAGGGGGCAGGGGGAAGGGGAAACCAGATGGTATAATTTCTTGAGAAACTGAAAAAAGATCCTGTGCTTTCTGCTATGCCTAACTTCACAATTTCCCATTTTAGAATAGGATCTGTCTCAAGAAATAATTTCATTTAATTCCTTGTGGGGTGAAGAGGAAGGCGGGACATGAGCATTCAACACTGGCATGCTCTTTCAAATAATGTTTTTGATGCTTTTTATAGCAGACACTACTGCACTATTAAAAGCATGGTGTGCCTTCTTGGCCCATTTGCTGCAACTCAGAGGAGGGGGCTAAAAAACCAGCATCTACCACCCCGACTCTTTCAAGAAGGTTTCCTTTTTAACATCAGAAGAAAATTCAGGTGCCAACATAGGGTACCATCGCTGTACTTTTAGTATCGGATGGTTGAGAAAACACAGGAGAGAGTCCTTCTGAGTCCTGTTGCCCTTCCTATGATCGTGTATTTTACTAATCACAGCATTCACACACGTGAGATGTCACTGTAGACATCACATCATCACAGCTTGCCTGTAGATACGCTCTACTAGGCAAATTTTGGTGTACCTTTGCTTTTTCAGACTCCCTAGGGGAACTGGTTTCAGGAGGCCTCTGATACCAGGATGGAGCCCAGGGCTAGATTCTGTGTCATATTCTCCACATGATAGAGGAGATTCTTCTCTATCACTTAATAAAGATCAGGACTTCTCAGCCTCAGCATTTTGGATGTTTTGGGCTGGATTATTCTGTTGCCTGACCATCCTGTGCATTGTAGGGAAGTTTAGCAGCATCCTTGGTCTCTTAACTCGCTAGATGTCTGAAACACCCTCCCTACCTTCCAAGATGTAGACACTCAAAAACGTCTCCAGACATGGCGGCAGGGACTGGTTAAGAGCCACTGATCTCAAAGAAATCTAAGAATTCTCCTACATCTCTGAGGCCAGGATGCACTTGCGGCTTTCACATCAAATCAGGGCAGTGAACTCTTACCTGTCTTCACCAGAAGTTTACTGGACATCTGACACTCCAGGTTGGACGCTGTCTTGCCAGGTGTGACCACAGCAGTGGACACAGCGGGAAAAGCGGCATCTGTGTTTTCTGCTGATGAAGGAGGCATCCGGGTGGCCCTCACTGGTGCGGTGATGGACGTCAAGGCTGCTGTGATGGTCAGCGGGCGAGTGGTGGACACCCTGGGCAGGTCTGGGTTGGTGGGGTTCGGGAAGCCCGTGTGCATGGCTTGTGGTTTCCTGGGGAGGTGTGTTGTGGATAACAGGCCAGAGGCAGCGCCCGTGTTCCCTTGCATGGCTGGGTGGGCGCTCACGGTGTGTGCTGTTCTTGCAAACATATAGGTTGGCGTGAAGGAGAAGGCTGGATGAGCCACTCCTGGTGTCGCTTTGGGGCCAGATGCGGCACTGCTCGTGATGTTTTTAGCTAGAGCGGTGGTCCAGCTGCTCTTGGCTAATCCCGAGGCCATGGCTGAAGGGTTGCTGCCGGTGCCCTTAGCAACCAGGGCTGCAGACAGCACCAGGGGACTTGATTTACGAAGAAACAACGTGGTTGCTGCTGCTGCTGCTGCTGTCGGTTCTGCCTTGGGCAACACTGAGGAATCCACTGTAAAGAGAAAAGGCAAAGTCTGTCATTGGCACAGAATGCACACACCACTTGTGGGGATGCATGGATGCCACTTATGGGTTTGTTGGGCTGAGAGGTCTCTGAGCTCTGGAATTTAGGCAAAATGGCTTTAGGTTCATTAAGTCGATTAACCGTAATGAGAATGCCACTTACAGCAAAGCTATGGGTGGAAATAAGGACACTTAAATTCTGAATACATTCCAAAATATCAAGTCAGCTGAAGATCAAAGGCATGACTATCTGGACTAGTAACTCATTCATCATCCTGAAATCAGGCATATCTGCTCCTTCAGAGCAAAGCTAGGTATCTGTGTTGAGCCTGAAGATGCTTTGGCCCCAGAAGCTGTCACACACCTATCTTGGGAGGGACCAGGAAACAAACTACCTGCATTAGTGGTTGCACCTGTCCATTTCTCAGGGTGCTGAGAAGCCCACAGTGTTTTGGACGGGGTCCTGAGTAAGGCACTGGTTGACAGAGGAGGCGATTCAGCAGTAGGGTGAAATCTCAGGATACCCTGGAATGGTGGGGAAGCATTTATCACTGGAGATGGATAGATGTCATCAGTGATTTGAAAACTTGTATCCATTCCATCTGAAAGCATTTCTGGCAAGCGAGCTGTGGAAGTCAGACTTGGAGAGCTTAACACAAGTGGATGTGTTGGATGGGCAGGTGACTGTAGATGGGGATGAGACACAGATTGTTGGCTTATAGATGGGTAATCTCCAATCTCAGCTGTTTGGAAGTCTCTGGGATAGTTGCTAGTGTTTATGGACAAGAAGTCTGTATGGTTTCCAACCATGGTAACATCTGACTGTTGGATGGGCTGGTTGGTGCTCATACCAGACCCTGGATCCTGGATGCTAAAATCTTCCACAGTTGCTGAATGCCCAACATTATCTTTGAAATCCTGAGATTTTATTGTATTGGCAGTGGAATTTAAACCACCAGGAGAAGTGGCTGCAGCTGAGTGAGCTTCCCAACTTGTGGAGTTAATTGTGTGCCCATTTACATGATAATTTGTTTGCTGCAGCCAAACAGACATCATGGGTTCTGTGGAAAGGGACTCAGCTTCTGCTGCAACAGAACTCCAGAAAACATCTGTGGTTGCTGGCTTCTTCATGCCTCCCATTACTGAGAAATCATAGACCTCACTGGAGGAGGGAAAAGCTGTCACCTGTTTAGAAGCCCAAACTGGCAACTCAGAATGGTCTGTCACAGCTGTGTAAGTCACTGGCTTGGCGCTGGAAAAACTACGAGATGGGGACGCAGTCTGGGTAGCTCGTGTGAAGGGGATGGAAGATGGAGGTAACTCAGAAGGAAGGAGGCTGGTCCCTGGTGGTGTCACGTCTGTAGAGACATGATCAGTGCTGAAATTAGAGGTGAATCCACCTACACTGTGAAGACTTGGACTCTCTTTATTCGGAAGGGTCTGGAGAGCAACTGTCAAATATGCCTTTTCATTTTTCTTTAAAACAGCTGCCAGGCTATCTTCCTTCTGCAGGGGAAATGTCCACGTCGTGGAAGGATGATGAGGAAATGTGCCTGAGAGGAGGAGGTCTGTAGCCGCAGTGGGAGGGGACCCATCACTACCTGCTTCTTGAGGAGTTGGCACTTGGGGCATGGCGGATGGAGAGGCCTGACTCCGTGCCAGCTGGAGGGGGGCAGGCGTCGGGGGGAAGTCAGCTGTTGTGTCATTTGATGGGGATGTGGGAACTGGCCCAGAAGGGCCTTCTTGTCCTTGGTCAGCTGTGGTGAGAGGCAGAGGAGAGGGCACCAAAGGGGAAGATTTGGGTTCTGCTGAAAGGGTGGGCCCTTTGGAATTCTCTGGGGTTGCTGACACACGCAGGGGATAAACAGAGTTCTTTGCAGGAGCACGGGCTGCCTCCAGGCTGGTCATTCCCACTGCCACTAACTCTACCGTCTGGACCGGCGAGGACGCAGCTTCAGGGGTTGCTGCACTCTTCAAGGCTGGCAGAGACACCCCATTATGTGCTCTTTGAGCCACCTCAGCTTCAATCGGCTGGGTGGATGCAAGACTTGGAACCACTTCCAACATCAACGATGAGGGCCTTCCACCAGGAAGCTGAAGACTTCCAGAGGCTGGGGGAAGGGGAGACAAAGGGGCCAGGTCTGCCACGGAGCTCAAAAATTCAGGCGAGGGGGAGCCCGCTGAGTGAGGACCCTCTGCTGGGCTTGAGGATCCAGAAAAACCTAGACGAGGGATGCCTATGAAATCCTGGGCACTTCTGGATGGAGCACGGTTCATTTCCTCAGCAAATGGGTTTAGGGGATTCGCTAGGCTCTGACTTGAGGAGGAGTCAGTTGGAGCTGTGTGGGGGAATAAAGGCACTTTGGTGGGTGGCTCCGCTGCCTTAGAAAAGAGGATGGAATGAGGTGAGTCGGGAGCCAATGAAGAAGATGAAGATGAGAGGAGAGCATCTGCCCTCGGGGAATGTAGTTCTGAAATGGAAGGAGTCCCTACCCACGGTGGCCGCAACGGGAGGCCAGCGGTGAAGGACGTCACTGGTGGGAGGGTGAACAGTGGGGGCAGCATGCTGGTGAGAGGCAAACCTGACACTGAGGCTGCTTCTTTTCCCCCTGGAGCTCTTGGCTGGACCAGGGTCTCGGCGGAATCCTTGGAAGGCTCAAGGGAGGTGCTGTGGGCGCTGCCTTGGGAAGGAGAGAAGTCCCCGTGGGCCCGAGCTCGGCGGTGTGTCTTGGGTAGGGCCGTCCAGGCAGACTGCGGCCAGCTCGTGTTGTCAGGGGATGCTGCAGGCCCAGGCTTCATCCTGTCCACTGCTGAGGAAGACTGGACATCGGAGAAAGGCCATGTTGGTGAAATCGGTAACAGCCTCCCATGAGGAGATAACTCCGGGGTCGGGGTGATAGCGATTTGCTGGTTTTCTGTTCCTGTGAAATGAAATATCGTGCCGTCAGGCCTCAGCTAATCATAGGTTCTGGAGAGAAGGGTAGGCCAGAGAAGTACCCCTTGGACCTCACAGAGCTTCCATGCCATTAAACATTCATTAAGACTCATTAAACACATTCAAACAATAACTTAGGTCATTACAGATAGGCTGATGCTGCAGCTAACCTACATGGCAGCGTTGGTGAGAGATAGCCACTGATGAGGTGGCTTAAGCACCTTTGCTTAAGCAAAGATGTGGAAGATATTTGTGTGTTTTAAATCTCTTATCTGTTCCACCGACAAGGGTTGGACTGTGAAACTCACAGCCTAGAAAACCAAAGCTGAACATGGCTCCCTGCCATGGCTAAGGACACCAAAATAAACCTCATCCAAGAATCCTCAGTGCAAAAGGAAAGGACTGTGTGTCTGAATGCAGATCTTTTATTCTTAGGGCATCTCAAGAGCAACAACTGAGGTTGTTGTGTTTGGAGAGATGGCACCCAGGAGACAGATTTATTAATATCTTGTTGGATTTAAAAGGATTTCTGATGCTATGGTTCACACCATGTCAAACAGCAAAGGGGATTTCCTTCAAATTAGGCTATTTCCGAGAGAAAAACTGTTCACATCCCACCCAGGACCACAGACAGCTCTCACAAGGCCTGGTGTCACTACCAGCACCTGCAGAGAAACCAGAACTGTCAGCACAAATGTGCAAAACTGCAGGCGGAAAGGCGAGGAGACAGGGCATGAAATGTGACTCCACGGGAAAGGAGGCAAAGAAATAACTGATCAGAAAGCCGGGAATTCCATCCTTGGGAGGACCTCCTGCTTGAGGATCCTCTCTGATCCCCTTTCCACAGCAGTGCCAATGGTGCTGATGACCCCAGAGGGGGCTCAGTGCCCTTAAGTAATATTTTAAATAAAAAATAACAAAGAGGAGGTACTCCTAGAGTTTTCTACATTATTGGCCAAAAAAAATTAGACTCAGGGATTTCCCTGGTGATCCAGTGGTTAGGAATCTGCCTGCCAATGCAGGGGACAGGGGTTTGATCCCTGGTCCGGAAAGATCCCACATGCTGTGGGGCAACTAAGCCCATGTGCCCCAACTACTGAAGCTCTTGTGCCTAGAGCCTGCTCTCTGCAAAGAGAAGGGGCCTCAATGAGAAGCCCACGCACCACAAGTAAAGAGTAGCCCCCACTTGCCCTAACTAGAGAAAGCCCATGTGCAGCAATGAACACCCAATACAGCCAATAAAATTTTTTTTTTAAGTTACACTCATCTGGTAGAAGCAGACAAACCAAGAGCTGAAGTCAGAAGACCTGGGCTTGTGCGCACCCTCCAGCCACCCACAGCTGTTGTGTGCATCTGTGGACAGTTGTTGCAAGAGTAAAGACAAAAGCACACTCCAACTGCCCCATGGGGTGACTAGAAGGAACACAGGGTGTCATGGAGGTGGAAGGAAGGGCTCCCCAAGAAGAAAAGCACTTAACAACAATTTAAAAAAATCACTAAACAAGTGAGCAGTCATTAGAACGGTCATTACAGGATCTAAGACCCTGTGTTTGCTTATTTGCTTAACAAAAGAGGACACTATGGCCCAGAGAGGGGACAACATTGGCAGAAACCACATAACCCATCAGGGACAGAAGCAGGTCCAGACACGAGGCTTCCTCACTCCCACTGCAGTGTCTTCTCCCTAACTGCTTCTCCAAACCAGTTCTCCAACTCCAGCTCCACTCTATCCTGCCACCAGAAAACCGAACAACCAAAGCTGAAACCTTCAAATATTTGAGCTTTTAGGAAATGAAATATACTGAGTCACAAGAGCTAAACAGTGATGATCTTCTGAAATATTCAGTTTCATTTTTTAAGATGGAAACAGTTTAAGGACAAAGGGCAAACTTAGCCTCTCTGTCTCCTTATTATGAGATCAGAATCACTAAAACTTCCTTTATACAGGACCCAAAGCTTCCTTCCTTCATACAGAAATAATCAGCAAATGCATATATAGCTACAGGATCAAAAGTCTACACAGCATTTCATTAAGATAACTGCACTCTTTGGGAACTGTCTCACAGTTTGCTATAGAAACTGTGTTTCTGTTATTGCACTCAGCCTAAGGAAGTAAAATTGGTTGCAATTTTACATGGAAGGCTGATGCTATTGCCATGTCTCGGTCCTTCTGTTCATGATGCTTACCTCCTAGATAGACTCAGGTTCACACTTGTCATGCAGTCTTGTCTGGCTATGCAGTAGATGGTACTCACATGAGTGAACAGAACATCCTTCTAGTGTAGTTTGTGCATTTTAGTATTTTCCAGTAATACTTTAGAATCCATTTTTATTACTTGCATGTCAGGTGAAATCTATGTAGGATTTCTTCTTTTGTACTTTCATTGAAATAAATTCAACCAGGGGCTCAACTCAAGGATTCAAGAGTCATACTAAATTAAACTGGTTACAAGCAAGTACCCTTCTAAGTCAAAAAGGATGCAACAGGCAGAGTAGTTTTTGCTTTCAAAAAGATTTTTTGCAAACTCTTTCATAAAAATCTTACAAGCAGGAAGGGGAAGTGGTATTAGAGGATGAATACAAGGGGATTTGTAATTAACTGAATTACCACAACCAAAGGAGGCTAAGATAAAGAAACAGTCTCTAATGGGCTTGCCTCTGCTAAACCTTGTTGTTTCTAGACTAGAATCCAGTGTTTCCCAAGCTATCCCTTACAAAACAGAGTGTCCCAAGATGCCTCATGAAGAAAAGTTTCAACAAGTTAACAGTTTTGAGAAGTATATCCTATACTCACACCTAACAGTCATTAATGCTATTCACCATATGCTTCTGGCTCTCTACATTCAGAGCACATAAAAGGACTGCACTTCCCGGATACCTCTGCGGTTGGGTGGGGCCATATGATTAGTTCTGGCCAATGAGTTGTGAGCAGAAGTGACAAGTGTCATTTCTGAGCTAGAACATCTAAATACTGTAGCAAGACTGTCCAGAACTTGCTTTCTTTGAAGGAAAAAACAAAATAACTAGCAATATTATATCTGAGTTAGTTAAGGTGGAGGAGGAGGAAGAGGAGAAACCTACTAACATTCAAAATGTTTGCAGGTCCACCAGCCTGGGTCCCTTAGGGAACCATAATAAGCAAAGGCCCTCTGTCTTTGTAAAAGTGTGTACAGGTAGCATGAGCAAAAAACAAGCTTTTGCTCTTTTAAATAACTGAAATTTGGGAGTTGTTTGTTATGGTAGCATAACCTAACTTACCCTAACCTATTCAGAAACTGGTATCAGAGTGGATTTGGAACTTAAATGGGCATACTCCCATGTACATCAACATTTAAATAAAGGCTGAGTCCCATCATCCAGGATACATAAGAGCACCTAGGATGTAGCAAAAATTCAACAAATTGATGTTGGACAGTTTAATTAAACTTTAGCCAAAACTGATCAAGCTTATTTAACTTCTGAAATACGTTTAGACACACCGAGGAAACTAGATCTGAAAGATACACGTGCACCCCAATGTTCATCACAGCACTGTTTATAACAGCCAGGACATGGAAGCAACCTAGATGCCCATCAGCAGACGAATGGATAAGGAAGCTATGGTATATATACACAATGGAATATTACTCAGCCATTAAAAAGAATTCATTTGAATCAGTTCTAATGAGATGGATGAAACTGGAGCCCATTATACAGAGTGAAGTAAGCCAGAAAGATAAAGACCAATACAGTATACTAATGCATATATATGGAATTTAAAAAGATGGTAATGATAACCCTATATGCAGAACAGAAAAAGAGACACAGATGTATAGAACAGACTTTGGGACTCTGTGGGAGAAGGCAAGGGTGGGATGTTCTGAGAGAACAGCATTGAAACAAGTACACTATCAAGTGTGAAACAGATCACCAGCCCAGGTTGAATGAATGAGACAAGTGCTCAGGGCTGGTGCACTGGGAAGACCCAGAGGAATGGGATGGGGAGGGAGGTGGGAGGGGGGATCGGGATGGGGAACACATGTAAATCCATGGCTGATTCATGTCAATGTATGGCAAAAACTACTACAATATTGTAAAGTAATTAGCCTCCAACTAATAAAAATAAATGAAAAAAAAAAGAAATATGTTTAGGATATTTCTCAAACATATTTGACCTCAGAAGTTGGTTACTCAAAAAAACCCCAATGATACACATAAAGCTAAATAAGAAAACATGCTCATTGAATTAGCAAATGATAGCAAATTCAAAAGAATAAATGATATGAAGAATTGCGGAGAAATACTTCAAAGATGTCAACTAACTGAAATTATCGTTGAAGGAAGACATAAATTAAGATTAAATATAAAGGCTTGCTTTTAATCCACATATTACCTGGATAAGAACAGAATGGGGGAGCTTTCCTTTAAGGATAGCTTATGTTACCTGTAGGTAGGGTTGACTGGAGTTCATTATGAACTACAATAGGAATGTAGGCTAGCAAGAAAATGATAAATTCTTAGACTGCATTAAATTTCCTTCACTCCTAAAATAAAAAAAAATTTCATACTTAAGAAAAATATTTATAATGTCTGTATGTAAGTCATAAAAGACAAATGATGAAAAACATACATTGTCTCTGGCTTCATGGACCTCACAGTCTTATGGGAGATATGGAGTTAAAGCAAATATTCTCACAAGTATAAAAATGATACATGTTACAGATGAAAGATGCATGGTCCTTAAGAGCAGGCAATAAGAGGATGTGACCTGATGGGGGAGGTCAGAAAGCACATCACTGAGAAAGTAACTATCAAGCCAAGATCCAAAGAATAAGTAGAAGTTAATCAATCCATGAGGGAAGGGAAAAACATTCCATGTAGAGGCCAGTATTTGCAGAAAGCTTGTGGCAGGAAGATGCATAAATAGTATAAGGAACTGAAAAAAAAGTACCCATAGTGAGAAGCAGAACATGAGTGGACATGGCCTAGGATAAGGCTGAAGAGGCA